CTGGGCCACACCCTGGCAGTTAGAAAAAATCCTTAGTTAATTAATTTTCATTATAGACAGCTTTATGCCTCATAAAGTATTTTTCTGAGGTCTGTCTTATCAGGTAAATTACTATACACAGTGTATTCATTAATTTTCATTTTCATGTAGTAAAGGCTCTATGCCTTCATAAAGGATGTACTTTTCCTTTGTTTAAGGGTATTTGGGCAGTTATATTCTCTGTTATATTCTCAAGTAAACAATACATACAAGTACAGTACAGTATTTTCTGAGGAAACACTCATACTTATTTTTTTTAACCCCATTCCTGATAACCCAGCATTTTCACAAACTCGGCCACCCTTCGGTCCACATTATGCCGAGTTTTCGAGACTCTACTGTATTAGCTTTTAACAAAGAAAATAAATTTCCAATAAGGTAGAAACTTGTACTATACAGATTTAAAAATAAGAAACTATAACTATTTCATTTAGTGTTTTTTGACATATTCTAAGTTTATAATTTTCAAAAGATTTTTAATTTTGAACAAATACTTAAATTATTTAACACATTAATAAACTTTATGCTTTTGTACTTTCTGAACATAAAAACATATTTATTCTAAAAATATAGAGTTTGTTTTATTACAGTATAATACTAATATTTAATTTAATAATGTATAAAAATATTCAATCAAAAATTAAAATTTTTATTCTTATCACAAAAATATTTCCAATAGGAAAAGAGAAAAAGTATTTTAAAATTTATTTTAAATTGTATTTGAAGTTCAATATATATCACTTATTTTCAAAAGTTAAAAAATGTTTATATTATGTTTTTATGATTGTTAGTTAAACCCATTGAAATTTTAGCTTATTTAAACTTATGTTTAATTGCTTTCATAATATTAAATTATATACTTTTTACTTTCCTGTAATGATATAAGTAATGTTTATTTAAGCACAAAATTTTAGCTTTTAAAGATTACTATCATTCTCTTAATATATATTTTATAGTATTTTCATTATTAAATGTTTTCTTAGTTTCATTAATGGAGTTTAAATTCTTTTATCAGCACTCAACAATAACTTTTTCAGAATAAACTGAATAAATTTATAATTATGGTGGTTTGAATCTAATTATTTGATTTCAATAAATGATTTTATAAAGATCAGAATTTATTTAAATTTTTGTTTTTATGGCTTGACTGTATTTTTTTACATGAAAGTTACTAAACTTAATAAAAATATAATCTGTTAATTATGAAAAAGTACTTTATAAGCAATTCATAAAAACTAAAATTAATAATTTATTTTTATTATTGCATATCTTCTGCACATATCAATAAAAACAAATTACAAATTCATCAGGTCTACATCAATAAATGAATTTACTTTTGAAATATTTATTTATTAAATATTTTAAATTCTTTCTGCCTTATGTTTAATAAGAGGATCTTTTATTCACACCCATCATGGATTCAGTAAAATCTGCAATAAAGTAGTGGAATGGTGGGGGATGGCTTGATCATCTAAGAAAGTTTTTGAGGATTGAACCCAAATTTGAATCTCAAGATCACTCAGAGCAGCAAATGCATGCCTTAACAGCCTCAACCATCAACCAGTATCTTTATTAAAACTGATTTACAGGATAGCCATAAATTGTTAAGTACATTTCAGTAATGAATAGTAAATGAATCAAAGAACTAGTATCTAATTGTATTATATATCAAATCATTCAGCAACTTAATTTTTACAAATACTGTTTATTATGTCCATGAAATTTGTTTAAATATTTATTAATTGCTTTTTGGATTCTACACCAAATAAGCATTTTGTTTAATAATGGAGTTGATTTGATGTTAAATAAATATTGTCATTTTGTTCTTAAAACTGATGACAGTTAAAAATTTTTTCATTTACAATAATATTAATAACAGTTTTAACTCAGCTCAATTANTGATCTTTGCTTATAAAAAACTGATCCAAGTGATTTTTGACATTGTCATTTCAAGTAAATGTCTTACATTTAAAAAAATTTTGTATAGACCGGAACAAGTAATAATCTGAGGGTGCCTGATCTGGTGAATATGGTTGGTGTGATAGCACATCCCATCTAAGCTGTAACAGTTTCTGACAAGTTACCAAATTTGCATGATATTTGGCATTATCATGGTAAAACACTACACCTTTTTTGTTGATCAATCCTGGCCTTTTCTATTTGATGATATTACTCAATTTGTTTACTCGATGGTGGTACATTTTCGAATCAATTGTTAAATTGTCTGATAAAGCTAAAAAAAAAATTTCCTTAAAATCCCACCAAAAAGAGCATCTCTCTTTAAGAACACATGGAACCCATATATCAAGCTTTGAAATGAAACCAATTCATTTCAAGTAATCATAAACAGTTCAATTCGACAAATTTAATCTCTTAGTGATTTCACATGTTGTTATTTGGCAGTACAATCAGTACCTTTATTTTGTTTTCATTGGCTTCAACTGGCCATCCAGAATGTGGTGCATCTTCAATACTAAAATTGCAAGAACAAAATTTTGTAAACCAGTTTTGGCACTGTCTTTCTCTCAACACATCTTCTCCATACATGTACCAAATTTTTTTCTTGCTTGAACAGCATTTTGATTTTTTGGTAATAAAAAACCAAAATATGCCAAAAATGGTGCTTTTGATTTTTCATATTTAATGGGACACCGAAAAAGAACAATTGTACAGAATCAAACAAAATTTTTTACAAATAAGCCTTAAAATGTCAGCTATCAAAGTATATAATGAAAATTTGGTTTAAAATGAAATTGGCTAATTCCTCTAGTAATAAAGAAAAATAAAATTACTTTCCGAACAACCCAATACTTCTGAAAAAATCCAGAAAATTAATTAATTAAATAAAAATTATTAATGTAATTATCTGTCTCCAAGCTTTTCCTCCTGAAAAATTTTCTTCAGACATCCATGTAACCGAGTAAACTTAAGATTGACAGGGTAACATATGAACAAAAAAATCAATATTTGGAAATTGCCCAGATCTCTTTTAGGCAACCATAAATTTGCCTAATTCATTTTCAGGCAAAGTCCAACATAAAACTTTATTTCAGATAATGCATAAAACACTCTTGGCAATCTTAACTTTGCTTAGACAATCCTAAGATTTCTGATCCTTTGAACCTTACCTGATATCTGTGTGGAATATATTTTGTATTTCAATGTTTTGTAAAGCAATAATTTGTAATTTTCTATAGAGATCTGATGAAGAGCTAAACAACTATAAGTATATGCTCTAATTTAATATGTAATAAAAAATTGTCCTTTACTATTGTTTTGATTTTACTATGACATTTTATGAATGACTTTAATCTTTTATACACTAGATAAAATTAGTCCCTTCAATGTTAACTTTTTAAAAATTTATGAAATTAGAAATTCATTTTTTTAAACTGATACAATAAAATTTTAAGACCAGATCATTAATAATAAAACATTAATATTTCTATATCTTGAGTTTTTAGTAATATCTTTTTATATTTCTACATATTTTAAATCTAATATTTTTTTATAATATTTGATAAAAATATTAGATTTACAAAATAAAGCATATACTGGGTGATCATAATTAAAGTACTCCTATTCAACATCTGAAGGGATATGTAGCAATCCAAACTTGACCAAATTTTACATGCTGATGTTTCTGGACATGCAAAAGAAATTTCCAAGGAGAAAAAAATTTAGTTCCAAAACTCATTACTGTAATGAGCAGCAAAATAATACATAGCATAGACATCAGGCATATATATAAGGTATGGTCAATTTCTGGGCATAAAACTGCTTATGGCATTTGAAATATCACTCATATCTCTCATATTACTGTAGATCAACATCAATGCTTATACCATGCCTGAATGCATCTTGTGAAGCTGTTTAATGAAAGCAGTGCTAATGCTTTGAGTGCACCTTGAGAAATTACACCAAGGTTTTTTAACTACTTGTAGAGCCAGCAGATCTCATAGTGGAAAGTTTTGGAAATAAAATTTTCCACTGTAGAAATCTTTTCTGCTTGTCTAGAAATGTCAGCATACAAAATTTGATTGAGTTTATACTGCTATATATCACTCCTATCTTATCCTAATCTATAATAAATATGAAAATAACTTAAACATTTCTGCAGTTATGTATTTCATTTTAATTATTACTATTTTACTATGTTAAGTGATATGCTAGAAAAAACATATATTCTGTTTTTCAGAATATCAGTGTGCAGATCATTCAGTTTCAATTGAAATTTTTTTTACAAATTCAGAAAACAATAATACAACTGATATTAATCAAAAAACCTAACTCACAAGACGTAGATAAACAAAATCATCTTCTAACACATTCTCAACAGCATGTAAAAAGAAACTGAAGAAAAAGATTAAAAAATAAAGAAAAGTACGTATTTAAATACGAAAAATAATTCACATATAAATGAACATATTAAATATTTTATTTTCTTTTAAAACTTTAAATTTTTTAAAGTCTCTTAAAATGAATTATTTGACAAATATAAATAAAAAAAATAAGTATTTTACAAAAAGTTATTAAAATTTTTTTAATATTAATTAAAAGATGTCATATTCTTTGTCAAATTTCAAGTTTTTAACAATAGAAATAAAAATAAGTTTAATAAGATATTAATAAAAGTACATTTGAACAGCACATAAATTACATGAATTTTAAGATTAATATGTTTATTAAAAATTAAATTATACTTACATTTGTTTCATTTAATGCTGATTCAATGTTATGACATATTAGTAACGTCCACATTGTATCATTAGACTGCAGATTAACATATGTTTTCTTATTAATTTTTTTCATTTCAATAGATGTTACATTACCTACAACATTTAAATCTTCTGGAAAAAGTAAAGTTTCTATTGGACAAGCTCCTAAATAAATAAAATTTTTATTATTATAAAATTAATTATACTAAATCTTGAATTATGTATTGAATAAAAATGAAACCATTTACATATATAACTTCAGCAAATTAATTATAAAATTGCATAGTAATTTCTTTTAATTTAAACATTTTGAAAAATTTTTAAATCATTATCAAAAAACAGAGAAATTTCAAATTTTAAATCTCTAATCTTAAAACTGTAAAATTAATTTAACAGAATTTGTTAACAAGGAAAAAAACATTTAAAAATATATTTTAATGAAAGAAAGTAGAAATTAACTTCTAAATTATTCTATTAATTAATGTATTAAATTTAGAGATGATTTTCATTTCTCAAAACATGTAACATTAACCTATTAAAGCATGATTTCCAACAAAGAATTAAAACAATTTGTAATTTTACTAATATTTGATGGAATGAAATATTTCTATATATAAATACATAACTAATTCAAAGCAGGAGTGTTTTAAACAAAAAAAAAAAAAAGCTGTATTTATTTTGAACAGTCACAATGCAGTTAAAAATAGAAANTTATAGGGGGGGTCTACGTGTATATTATTATAGTACATTATGTATGTATATTCTACTTAATGTATAGATTTTATGTATATAAAATTTAATATACGGTTTATAAGTGAATCCGGTATAAAAAATTTATTTTTATATTTTATTAAATTTTGAAATTACAGATTTATTTTAAAAAATAATAATAATAATAAAATAAATTGCTTTGTAAGAACGATAGAATCTTGTTATAAAATCAGTTTTCGTATACAGTATTTTATTATAGTGTTATATTCATTCGTATCTTATTGAACTTATATGTTTTATAAAATTCGATCAAGATCTATCCGTAAACGATAAAAAATAAAAAGAGTAGTAATAAATTCGGTATAGAGTTTCCTCTTGTCTCTTATAGCAATCAGTTTGGTTGTTATTTGAAGACATTTTACAGGACAAATATAGAAAAAGAACAATCTGAAATCTAACTATTACAATACCAAGATAGGTCGGATTTTTGATGGAAATCCGACATAACTATTACCTTATTGATCCAATGTTTGATAAAGTCGAATTGTTCTTATAAAAGATAATAAAAGGTAAACGATTAAAATTTATTTAAATTTTTTTTTTCTAATTTCTTAAATGGAGCTTTTTACGAATAGAAAATCGATAAGAACATCAAAGAAAAAGCTTTATAAATTTTGTAATTTAATAAATTTTTTCGTTTCGGTTATCTTTAATTCTTTTTATTAATATATATGTCATTCCCACAATTACTTTTAAATAATTTTATTTAAATAAAGTTAATTTAAATTACTTAAAATTGATTTTAGTTTCTAAACATGTAAAATGAAAAAAAAATCCAATAAGCATTTTTCAATTACAAACCTAACAATAAAAAATTAATTTTTAAAAATTTATATAGATAATTTTCAGAAATTGATTATAATAAATTTTAATCGGACGCCATTTTCTTTCATTAAAATAAAATTAATTGTGATAAAAGATAGATTTAAACTACATGAAAATAAATAACATATTTATAACATAATAATTAATTTATATATAATATATATTTTATATAAATCTGTTCCAAATTCCTGAGTTGAAAGTGACTTTATACAAAATTTATTTGTACATTAAAAATTCAAACCGTCGCCATTTTGTTTCTATGGCCTAAAATAAAATATATTTTAGAATACAGTATGTAAAATTTATTCAATTCCATTGGAATTCATAGAATTTATGTGATGTAAAGAATTCTGAAAATAAGCAAAACCTCCAAATAAAAATAACTCAAAAATTCCTCTTAACACTCCATTTAACAATTAGAAAAATATCATAAAAACATTAATTTTCTTATAAATTCCGAAATAAATCTTGTAGACTAACATGAAAGTGAATATAACATTGCACCATTCCATAATTGATAGAGGAACAAACTTATGATAATTAAAAATATATTATTTTATAAAAGCCCAAAAGTAATTTACGTCTTGGGAATTACATATCGTCACGAACTCTTAAGGAATTTCAATTTGAACTTATCTATCGAAAAATCTTTCTTAATTTAAAAGGAAAAGTTTTTGAACGAAAATAGCTTTTATTACTCGCAGAATATTTAGGCGAAAAACATTTACGATCAAGGAAAATCCATTTTAATTCCAAATTCACAAATTTGCATGCGATAAAACCTCATATGGATATTGGGACCCTTTCCAGAAACCTGAAAAATATTTTAAAAGATTAGATAAACCATTAAATGTTTAATAAAACTTTAATATTATTTTGTTTATGTTAGTGATATATCTTACCTTATCTGAATTACGAGAAATTTCACTAGATTTAAATTTAATCAAATATATATATATATAACAGGTATTATTCTTGAATTAATTTCGATCGAAATTCCTTAGAGAAAAATCTCTTTCTTGAGTCATATCTTTTTTTGTATTTCTCTTGTTAGTAAACCAGAAAGAAGAATATAATAATAATTCAATAATAATCTCAAGATTTGACTTATTAAAAATAATTAGGATCAGATTTCTTCTGTATAACCCGAATGGTCGCAAATCGATAACATTAGTAATAGAAACACAATAGAATTAAACTTTATATGGATTAAGGATCATATAAAAAATATAAAACATTTCTAAAAAATAACAAAATATTTTTTTTTATAAGAGGTCACTTTTATATAATCAATATATTTTTATATAACGTTTGTTTTTTAGTATTCTTTAATATATTTTTGAAGATATAATCCTTCGAATTCATACAATAGAAATTTTACTATTAAATTAAATTTTTGTATGATATAAAAGTCAATCAATTTTTTTCTTTTCTTTTTATTCTTTCCGCCTTGTGGGCACAGAGTGGACCTTTTTATCACGTTTGTAGGTTCAGCCGGGCCCACAACGAAGCATCCGGGTGATGAGGGAAGGGCCAGACCCAGGAAAAACCCTAGGATTTCCTTTTATTCTGGGTTTCCTGAAAAATTCCTGCGGTTTTTCGACTCATCGTGATTCATTCCTAGATCATCCAAAGCGGGTAAACAGACACCATAGATCAAATTGTTTATAGTATTATAATCCAGTAGACCCCCTATAACACTGTAGATAATTCCGTGTTATATGAATTCCATGTTGTACGAGTCACTTAGATTTTACAAAAACGTGTGCCGGACTGTGAGCGGCTCACGTATTTGTAAAATCTAAGTGACTCGTACAACATGGAATTCATATAACACGGAATTATCTACAGTGTTATAGGGGGGGTCTACGTGTATATTATTATAGTACATTATGTATGTATATTCTACTTAATGTATAGATTTTATGTATATAAAATTTAATATACGGTTTATAAGTGAATCCGGTATAAAAAATTTATTTTTATATTTTATTAAATTTTGAAATTACAGATTTATTTTAAAAAATAATAATAATAATAAAATAAATTGCTTTGTAAGAACGATAGAATCTTGTTATAAAATCAGTTTTCGTATACAGTATTTTATTATAGTGTTATATTCATTCGTATCTTATTGAACTTATATGTTTTATAAAATTCGATCAAGATCTATCCGTAAACGATAAAAAATAAAAAGAGTAGTAATAAATTCGGTATAGAGTTTCCTCTTGTCTCTTATAGCAATCAGTTTGGTTGTTATTTGAAGACATTTTACAGGACAAATATAGAAAAAGAACAATCTGAAATCTAACTATTACAATACCAAGATAGGTCGGATTTTTGATGGAAATCCGACATAACTATTACCTTATTGATCCAATGTTTGATAAAGTCGAATTGTTCTTATAAAAGATAATAAAAGGTAAACGATTAAAATTTATTTAAATTTTTTTTTTCTAATTTCTTAAATGGAGCTTTTTACGAATAGAAAATCGATAAGAACATCAAAGAAAAAGCTTTATAAATTTTGTAATTTAATAAATTTTTTCGTTTCGGTTATCTTTAATTCTTTTTATTAATATATATGTCATTCCCACAATTACTTTTAAATAATTTTATTTAAATAAAGTTAATTTAAATTACTTAAAATTGATTTTAGTTTCTAAACATGTAAAATGAAAAAAAAATCCAATAAGCATTTTTCAATTACAAACCTAACAATAAAAAATTAATTTTTAAAAATTTATATAGATAATTTTCAGAAATTGATTATAATAAATTTTAATCGGACGCCATTTTCTTTCATTAAAATAAAATTAATTGTGATAAAAGATAGATTTAAACTACATGAAAATAAATAACATATTTATAACATAATAATTAATTTATATATAATATATATTTTATATAAATCTGTTCCAAATTCCTGAGTTGAAAGTGACTTTATACAAAATTTATTTGTACATTAAAAATTCAAACCGTCGCCATTTTGTTTCTATGGCCTAAAATAAAATATATTTTAGAATACAGTATGTAAAATTTATTCAATTCCATTGGAATTCATAGAATTTATGTGATGTAAAGAATTCTGAAAATAAGCAAAACCTCCAAATAAAAATAACTCAAAAATTCCTCTTAACACTCCATTTAACAATTAGAAAAATATCATAAAAACATTAATTTTCTTATAAATTCCGAAATAAATCTTGTAGACTAACATGAAAGTGAATATAACATTGCACCATTCCATAATTGATAGAGGAACAAACTTATGTAAATCTATATTCATATACAAATTCAGTGCAAATATATTCACATTTATATATATATATATAAATTACTTTATTTCCTAAAACCAATATTATTTTCCATTATATCAGCGATTCTATACTATTTCGAGATCGTGGCACATTCAGAATTCTTAGTGGCACACCCGATAAACCAGTGTCGCATCAGAGATGCTCTTATATATAGAAAGGAAACGAATTGAAAATCTATATTTTTATATAAATAAATATACAAATAATATTTATAAGTAAACAAAAAAAATTAATATATTTTATAATGAT